TGTACTCGCCAAGATTTCCAAATTATGTGGCTACATATTCCCATAGTGCAATAAGTAAATCAGAGCTCTGTAGTTCGTGAAGTAGAAAATAGTATTTGTTGATTGATTTTAGGGAATGACGTTATAATCGTATCCTATAAGTATTTTGACGTTAGCTGTTTGATCTTAGTTCAGATGCTTTAAGTTGTTAGTCTGACTGCTAAGGAATGGATTGTAACTGTTTGATCCTTGTTTAGATGCTCTAAGTTGTTAGTTTGACTGCTAAAAAATAAATTATAATAATTCTTTTGCAAAAAATATTGTTTGGCATGAACCAAGGACAAAGAATTGTAAAAGTGGTGTTTGTGAAGGCAAAACCTCATAGATAGATGCGCTCGTTTCGATGATGTCAAAACTCAACCCCATAGAAAAATGTAAGTTGGAAGTTGTTACCATGTCATATTTGCATGTCTTGTATCTCATAAGTCAAACACTCATCAAAAACATGATTGTTGCATATAGATATGGTCAAATCTATGTTTCATATAAGGTTGGCTTAGTTGGTCTTGCTTGCCATACTATAGGTTTCATCAAAAGAGTCTTAATGCATGAAAATTGGCATTTTTGCCTATTTCAGGGATTTGAGTCGACTCAAAGCCTGCTCCGTTCGACTCATACAACTAGTCATTTTAATAGATTACTCTCAGGAGGGCTCGCGTCAACTCATACTGTGACCATTTGTATCTGGCTAAATTTTTATGATGTGCGTTAACGCATGGTCCTGATTTTTGTAATCATGTATACAAGTAAACTCAGGTCGACCCTTTTACTACATAGGTCGACCGCTCGTTGTTTTAAGTCAAAATTTATTATGTTAAACTGTTTTATGAATCTGTTATGTTTGTTAAGTCAGTTATGTTTGGTATATGAGTTGAGTTGTGCTTTTCCTTTCACAACAACTAAGAAAACAAGAAAAGTGAAATTTACGTGCCGATTTGGTCCTCATCATCTTCATTCTCTTCATAGCATTTCACAACAACTACACATAATCATTTTTGTTGTACATTGTGCATGTTCGAGGTGATAACGTCCAAAGCCGAAGATTGGTTTAATCTGATTTGTGTTGAGTGATTGGCAGGTTTTTCTTGAATAAAACCGTTAGGATTTTATCCTCCAAGAATCTCAGATTTTGGGGGGTTTTTGCACGAATCGGTCCATCACAGATTCAACCGAGCGAAGGTAATCGAAGAGCGGGAGGTTCTGTTGATTTAGTAGCGGTAAACAGAGGATTGTGAGAGGAAGATTCGGGTTCGACACGTGGGTGACTGAAATCAACTGGGCCAAATTTGAAGGCCGAGGGTTGTTCAAAGAGAGTGTCGTAATCAGAGGTTTATTCACTATGTTCGAAGCACTTGATTCAACTTGAATCAAGGGGCAAGAAGAAATAGGCTCTACAACAATAAATTGTGTTCGATTGTTTGATCTCTATTTGCTTCTTCTATAAACATTGACCAACAGGTTATATCTATCTATATACAGGTCTCAATTCTATTGTTAGAATTGAGGGCAGACGTACCCCGAGCGAGGACGACGGTGGAACTGCCTCAACAAATCGTTGTGTCTTTTTCTTTACGTTTATATTGCTAAATTTCTGAGTTTTTTTAGTGCAAACGATTGTGTCAATCAAGTTCTGGTTTGAATTATGCTGAACTATCTTTAAACTAATTACAATCATTGATTGTAATAGAAAACTTGAGCACTCAACTCTCAAAATAGAATTCACTTATAGTGCTCTGCACTCCAAATGTTTGATCAATTGTGTGAACTAAAAATATTTTGTGTTGTCTTTTCAAATTGTCTATATTTTAAAGGCATTGAAACTAGTCACACCTTATAGTGAACAAAATCTGATTGAAGTGTGATTAAAGTGGTGATTCTCAAATCTCATTTATCAAATTCCATAGGCTTTACGCATATCCGATTTTCTAGTAATCGTTCATTTTAGATGTGTATAGTTCGTCGATCGCTTCCGCCTTAAACATTTCTAAAAACCAATTTTTGGCAGCGCCGACTCTGTTTTAAACAAGCAATCTATTCAACCCCCCTTCTAGATCTGCGCCATCGTCTAACAGTGTCTGAACCAAGGACAAAGAATTGTAAAAGGTGGTATCTAAATCAAGGACAAAGAATTGTAAAAGTCGTGTTTGAACCAAGGACAAAGGTTATAAAAGTTTGTCTGATTCGAAGATTAACAAGACAAACGGGAAGCAGAATAAGAGCTGGCCTAAATAGGAGATTAATAAGGCAAATGGGAAAGGGAATAAAGTATGCCTAAACCAGAGGATTAACAAGACAAACAAGATAAGGAATAAGAGCATGCCTAAACAAGGGGATTAACAAGGCAAATGTTATATGACTACGGTGGAAAAATGACCATTGTAATATTGTGTCATCGAAAGTTTATTTTCTAATAGTATTTCATTCTATCCGTCTCTTCCTTACAAGCCTCACTATTGCAACAAATACAACAAACAGGATAACAAATGATACATACGCGTCCATTTTACAACAATGTATTCATGGCTCTCCACTGGATAATGCACTTTGAACCATTATGGCATTACTCGTACCAAAACATGCATTATTGCTCAATTCTTCTGGTCAACTCTGTCGTACCCCAAATTTTGCCCACTCTTCATATGTTTTATAGTTCCACTTTATTTCGAATAAATAAAATGACGAAATTGTTTGGAATATCATGTTTAAAGAGTTATAAGAGGGGAATGTCATGAGTTTGAATCTCACATTTCTCACTTTTAGTGTTTTTTTCCCTTTTATTTGTTTTTTCTTTATTTCTAACTTTTTCCTTGATTTTAAAATTACAAAAACTAACATCTTTTATTATTTATTATTATTATTATTAGATAATTTTTATTATTTAAAATGAGTTTTTAATCTAAATTCACAAAGCCATGAATCCATCCAGATTCATTGGCTTGGTCTTTAAGGAAAAAATAAAATCAGGTTAAATGAAATCTTTCATGAACGATTCAATTTCATTCAATTCTTTGACGTAGTTTTCATTTATCACGTCAAACACATTATTTTTGTCCCTTTCATTAATTATTGACTCTTCATACAAGTTAAATGTTCATTCAAACTTCTTGTCAATCATCGCAACATCGAAAAGTTCACCATTTCCATTGGTTCGCTGCCTTTTCATATTAAAGAGTTTGACTTTTCAAAAGTATTCATTAATTTCACATGTTTATCTTCTATATTCTGCATATCATCATCATCTTCTAACGACGCCATTGACTAGGGGATGAAAGACTCATCAAAATTGGTCGAAACATCATCACATTCACTTTCGAAATCTTCACATTCACTTGAGCAATTACATAACTTCTCTATGAATCTGATGAGAAACTCTTTTTTGTTAACATATACTCTAATGACTTTATTGATGAATTCCATCATAGGTGTTCTTACAAGCAAACGAGCCACGTCTAATCTTCGTATATTCCATGCATTTGAATCTAGTTCTAATAGTGTACCAAACTTTGTTACCAACGTCGAAAACACCTTCTTTCTCAAGCATGTACCAACACTCCAAACACTCGAACCCACACCAATGTGTCCCCTTGCGTCTCTTGGTTCCCATTCTGTCAATAATTTAAACCATTGTTCAAAAACACTTCATGTTTCCTTCATCAACTCCTTCAAATTTTCATCCTCGTTAACTTTTAAAAATACTTTGTCACCCCTAAGAGAGATCACCTTTATCGACGCGATACCTTCTTCAACCATAACATCTTGCAACTTATGAACTTATGAACAAACCCAGTAAAACCTTTTTTTTTGTTGCCTAAGCCATCTTTTCTTCGTTCACCGTTATCACCATTCTAAGGTCTTTCTCACATTCTTCTATCTGCTTTCTTTCATTTTGTTTTGGTCTCCACATCCTCATATCATTTTTGATTTGTTCTACTCTATTGTTCATATTAGCTTCTGCATACGATCTTCCTTCTCTTTTGAGATTTTGCTTTGCACCTATTTTGTTCCTTGACAAATTGATGTCACTTTCATGTTGCTGTTTAGTTTTGGGCTTCAATTCATTCTTCTTATTGAGATTAGAGATATTTGTTTTCTTGCTAGGTCTCGAAAATCTCGAAATGTTAGCTCATACCTTATAAAATCCAAACTAAATATCTCTCATTTGATCCTCAAGGCAAGTTGAATCTTTTATGTCAACATATCTAATGAAGCCAAAAATGTGTCCCATCTTGTTTCTTTTCCTTGCTATGTAAACATCACTAATCTTTCTCCATCGTTTAAAAGTTCTTTCCAATTCTCTTTCGCTTATAACTTCTTGGAGATTATTAACATAGCATGTTAATATCGTAGTATAATTATTATAAATGCTTTACAATCTACTTATTATTTTTCTTTTTAGCATTAAGATGACTCATGCCTCATCCTCTCTCACTCACTCTCTTTATCTCTTTAAATAAAAAGGACATAGGACAATACTTTAAAGCTAAAAATTAAAAAAAGAACAAAACAAATTTTTATTTTTTTTTTAAATTGAAGAAGATAAGCTTTAAAAACTTGGGATTAAGCTTCAATGCCTTTAATTTGAGAAAGACACCATGCATTTTAGGCAACTTCCACCATTGGATTAATCAAAAACTCCATATCAAACCACGTGTCCTTTTTTTAAAACACTTAAAACATGCCGATCCAAAATAAAACATCTCACAAACTGCGGTGCCGCGCCGCAAGGTTGCTGCCGTCAATCCACCACATCATTGAGTCTTGAAAAATTGTTAAACCCTACTTTATTCCAAAGAAAAAAAAGGTAAAACCCTGCCCTGCGAGAGAAAAGGTTGTATATACTGTGATTGTGAAGCATTTTGTCAAACATCTACCAGGCATTTTCACAGCTTCTTCTCCTTCTTCTGCATTCCTCTTTTATTAGCAATTACCAATTCACACTTTAAACTCACACGCTCTCAATTATGTCTTCGAGTTCAAAGCATAGTAGTAGTAAAAAGAAGCAATCGAAGTCACAATCGAGGTTATCATCATCTTCAATTTCCGAGCCGGCCACTCCACCCTGTAACATAGCCGAACCACAGAACCTAGCCTCTCTCCGCCAAGAAGCTTCTCGAATCTTCCCATTCTTCATTTCAGAATCGGCTTTGGTAGTCGAAATCACCGATGTCGAGTCTACCGATTCTCTTTCCAAAGGTTCCAAAATTTGGCTTTCCGAGTCTTCTATGATGACATCTTCTCTTGCTCCGGGTTCACTTGTTTCGGTAATCAATTTTTTCTCTTCAAGTTTTGGGGGTTTATGCTGCAACACTAGTTTATGATTCTTTCGATTGATTTATAGGTGTCTATTCCATCTTCAAGTAAAGAGATTACGCAATTGCATAACTTTCCTCTCACATCATTGACCACTGAATGTGTCCGATACTACAGATTGGAAACATGCAACAGATTGAATCATGTTGCAGGAAACTACTTTGCTATTGCAACTGTGTTTCCTTCTAAGAAGGTTAGTACTTTTGTTTTGTTATTCACTGTTTATTGATATGTAAAAAAGTTTACATTTTCATTCTGTGGTTAAATTAAATTAAATTTTGTATTCACTTTTATTGTGGAGGAGAATTTAGGGAGCTTCTTCCGTGTTACAATAAAATGCTTTAACATGATGTTAATTAAAGCAGTTGTATAAACAGATTCAGCTTTTGAAAATAAAGAGACTTGGATACTTTTGTTAGAGAGTTAGAATTTGCCAAAGAGTAGATAAGGTGAAGATTAGTCAAACCGCTAATGGCAAGGGAAGATTTAGGAAAATTATAAGAGAAACTATTAAGAAAATTACCCCGTACCCTAAAACAATGGACACTCTCTCAAACAAGTACCTTCTACTCCGATATCAATTAAGAAAAAGATTGATTGATAGTATGATCCTACTATGAAATCTTGTACTTGGCATAAGACTAAGATTAACAAATAGCTCGCTGAAGCTGCTTTTATTTTACTCATTTGAGATAAGATTAATTGATAGAATGATACTAGAAAGTGACTTTCTTGACAATAAATAACAACTCGCCACCATATTGGTTGAAGTTTTTACAAACTAATGTTCATTTTTCAATTAAATTCCCTTACGCAGTTTTCTTTCTCTTTTTAGGGAGGGTGTTCTTGTTGGTTTTCAGTTCATGTTCTCTTTTTAGCTATGTTCAAAATCCTAAATTTTACGACATTTTTATAGGTATTGAAGAGTGGAGTACGTCTGTCTTCTAATCTTTCCATTGTTATGGGATGTCCTCCTTTGGGCATAAGTGTGTTTGTTCACCCATTTCAGAAACAGTACACATCTTGTATTGCAAATGGGAGCAATGGACTGCGTTCTGGAGAAAAAGTATATAATTGCAAGGAGTTATATCTTCAGTTGGCTCCTTGTAAGAGTGGACTACCATTGAAAGTCAATAATTTCCTCCCATTAGACGTGTCTAAGTCAAAATCCCGTGCCCAATCTGAGAATGATATTGTTGCATCTCCTAAAACACCTTCTTATGTATCAAAATTTTCTAATGGAACTGTGTATTCTTCCCCCGTATTTGAAGATTCAGCATCAAGTGTAACGAATTACAACGATCAATTGGTGACTTCATTTGATGTTAGCAAGGCATTAGGAGATGAAAGTTCCAAAAAATTACTAGAAACATGTGCGACTTCATGGTTATACTCTCGTTGTTTATTGCTAGGGAATCTTGTCAGTGTCCCAATGTTTTCTGAGTTTTGCATTTTCCAAGTGATGGGAATTAAAAAGGCGCCAGCTATCACACATGACTATTGTTCATTGAATGGGAGCAGTAATTTAAATATTGAGGATTTGGATATAGTAGAGAATGGAAATCTGGCTTTCACTGTCAATTGGGAAACTAAGGTATTTTTATCTTTGCCATCAAATGAAGCATTTGAAGAGTCAGTTCTAAGGGATTTATCGTGTTTGAAACTTGATCACAAGGTTGTAAAACCTAGCATACATAATAATATTTCTAAATTAGGTGGTTTATCTAAAGAAGAAACGCTTTTAAAGGAAACAATTTCGTTTTTAGGGGACGATATTTTAACAAGGTATGTCTTATGTCTTCTCTATTTTATGTCTTCACCTGTATTTCATATAAAGCTGAAGAATTATATTTATTAATTCCCTTGCCATAAATTGTATGTTGTTTATTGCATCATATGATATTTTGTGGATTCAAGCAGTGCTGACTGTAGACTATGTTTAATGCAGCAAACTCTGTCTAAAATTAAATATCTAATGGAATTTGTGAAGTACTACATGTGCAAACAATTCCTCATATTTATGTGTTTATGTTTTTTTTGTTTTTGCAATCTGTAGATTTGGTATGCATAATACTAAAGGAGTCCTTCTTCATGGCCCACCTGGTACAGGAAAGACTTCCCTGGCTCAATTATGTGCTCATGATGCTGGGGTCAGATTTTTCTCGATAAATGGACCCGAAATTGTTACCTCAAATTACGGTGAAAGTGAGAAAGCATTGCAAGATGTTTTTGATTCAGCCATTCAAGCTGCACCTGCCGTGGTTAGATGTTTTGTCAAGAGAATGTGTTTTGTATTTTATCATTTTGTGTTTGAATGAATAATTTATGGTCTTATATTGATGAATGTGTGTATTACGAGTTACATATCACAACAAACAGTTACTTGAGTTTCTTATTGAAGTTTGAGGCTTTTAATATTAACCTTAGCTTTATATTGGACTCAGGAGTTAGCCACAAACTAGGTAGTTTTGTTTATGTTGTTGGATTAATCAAGGAAATACTCCACCGAGATCGAGATCCGGCAACAAGGGAATAACATATAGAGCACCCTCATAATACTCACTTCTATTAAAACACTCAGTGCCCATAAACATCTCACACACCATGCATATATAGTACCCTCATAATACTCACTTCTATTAAAACACTCAGTGCCCATAAACATCTCACACACCATGCATATATAGTACTCTCTCAACTCCCTATTTTTACATGCATAATTAAATCTAGAGCCTTTTTTCTTTCTTCTTTTATTAACTTTTGATGGGTTTGGATCTCAGCCCACACAAGGGCTAGTCTTGTCATGTTGGATTAGATCACTGTTCTCCAGAATTGAGACAGCATTATCCTCAAGACTGAAGTGAGGAAATTGCCCCGTGATCATTGCACATTTCCCAAGTGACCTCAAATCCTCAATAACTGGTTGATAGCTCCATTTAAGAAGAACTTGAGACATTGCTGACCATATTAGGAGATTATTCTTGAATTAAGAACTTTTTCAAGTTCAAAGAATGGTTCATCACTTCAAGGTCATTTCTTAATTGGGTGAACAATATGTTGTCCCATCCCAATGGCTCTCTCTAAGTGAGTCACTTGGAAGATGGGATTATCTCTCTACCTCTCCACTTGGCCAAGATTTGAAAAGTTCCAAAATATGCAAAGGCTTGGAGATACTTTGGGATTTATATGTTGGACCGGTGTCTTATTAGATAACAATATAAGAGGAGAGGGCTGAAATGAAATACGACAGTTACGGTCAATTTTAGGAGAGGGCTGAAATGTCATAAGAACTGTGATAGTGTGGTGCTTACTAATGGAATTAGTAGAACACCTATCATTGTGCTGCTTAACGTTGCTCTTGATTAATCAAGAGAAGTGAGAAATTGGTTTAAGCTGGGTGGCTGAAGAATATTAGGCATTTAACAAATAAACAATAAAAAATCTTGGAAATGAAGGCCATTGTACTATATAAAATGAAATGGCAGCATTTTATTGTCAGTCAGTGACCTGGTTTTTGTATTACACATTCTGATTTGGTTTTGAAGTTAAAAATGCTAAGAAATATATTAAAAGTTCATGTTTTGTTTGATTCCCTTATATGATTTAAAAGTTCTTGAACTCGCCTGAATTATCTTGAAGTTTATTCTAAACCAGTTCCTTATTTCCTTAATTATTTGGGAATGATGGTGAAAGATTTCAATTCTTTCAGTGCAAAAGAAAGTCTATTGCATTGTCTTATAAGTTGTATCTATTTTTTCCTGCTTTAAGCAGTCCTATAGACAAAACATAGAAGTAAGAATTACAATTTTTAAGCAGATACAATTTAAATGAATGATAGTTTCCTTTTCATGATTATTAGAACTTCTCAAACTGGTATAATGTGAGGAGGCCTGCTCTATGTCAATGTTCCTACAATTTTGACATTTTTCTTCAAGATTTTATTGCTTTAGTTTGCATGGTTAACTATTTTCAAGGCTTGCACTTGATTTACTGGGAATAGTCTCACTTATTTTGAACCTGATATTGTTATGTTCCAAGTTCTTCTAAGTTGCTGAATCTCCATGATTGGATTTCTGTTACGGTGTCACATACAGGTATTTATAGATGAAATAGATGCAATTGCCCCTCCAAGGAAAGACGGTGGTGATGAGCTATCTAACAGATTGGTTGGAACCTTATTGCTTCTGATGGATGGAATTAGAAGAAATGAAGGGTTACTTGTAATTGCTGCTACTAATAGGCTTGACCATATTGATCCAGCTCTCAGACGGCCTGGAAGATTTGGCATGGAAATTGAAATCGGTAAGATGTAAGCTAATAGCTCCTTATGAATAATATTTTATTACCTAGAAATGCATAAGATAATAGCTCATTAAATAATGTGGCAACTCATCATTGGATAACCGTGCAAAACTTTTTTTACAAACACTGTATATAAATCAAACTCATAATTTATAAATCTATCTATCACTGTAAAATACTACTCTATAAGGACTCAATTTTAAACAAAAAGGTGTCTCTAGAGCAGGTATAGAAGAGGTAGTCAGTGATACTTTAGCCTATCCTTAGTACTTGAATTTCAATATTTCATTCAATTGGAGCTCTTTGCAAAATATATTTTCGTTTATAATTTTAATCTGAATTTAGTAAGATGAATTCATAGAATTCTTTTATCAAACACCACTTCCTTATACTTTCATATGCAATGCAGGTGTGCCATCACAAACGCAGCGAAACGATATTTTGCGCACTATTCTCTGTGAAATAGATCACTCTCTTTCAGAGACACAAATTGAAGAGCTTGCCTCAATAACTCATGGATTTGTAGGGGCTGATTTAGTCGGCCTTCTCGATTGGGCAACTTTTATTTGTCTTCGGCGTTATTTTGAACTTAAAAATAAAGAGACTTGCAGTGATAGTTCTGATGACATGATAGAGCAACCCAATCCGTTGGATAGTGCAACAAACTCCAGAGACCATTCAAGTATTGGAACTTCTGAAATTATTGATAAGACGCCCGAAGAAGAGCCTATTTTGAACGTGACTTTTGAGGATTTTCAGAAGGCTAGGTCTGAAATAAGACCTAGTGCCATGAGAGAGGTATGGTTGATGGCATAATTAGTATTTTGGGAGTCAGTTTTTAATAAAAAATATCTCTTAGCAGGATATACCTATTTGATTTGGGCTCATTTTGGTTTCCTGAATTTTTCAATAAATCCCCTTCTATTTTCACATAATGAAATACGTAAACTTCTAAAATGTATAACCTGTCTACTTGAAATTACTTTTACAAGTGATGTCGATTCTAATCCGTGCCTCCATTCAACAATGAATTGTCATCGGTTGTAGTTTTGTAATTATCGTCTTAAAAAAAAAGAAATCTTTGTAATTGTGTTTTCATGATCTGTACTTGATATAGGAATCTGCTTTAGTGAGATAGGAAATTTTAAACCTAAAAAAGCATGATTACCTTCTGTCAAAAATCTGGTGAGTTATTTGTGCTCTCAATAACCATTTTCCTTCTGATAGTATTCTTTTCAAGTTAGGTTGTACATAAAATGTTAAACAAGGATTTTTTTAATCAGATATTTTCCAAAATAAAAAGTGAAGAATAATAGAGTGTTAGTTTATCATCTTCCATTTTTGTCTATGTAGGTGACCCTTGAGGTTCCAAAGGTTAATTGGGAAGATGTTGGTGGCCAGAAGGAGGTCAAAAATCAAGTGTTGGAAGCAGTATTATGGCCCCAAAAGCACCACGATGCATTCACCCGTATTGGGACTGATCCTCCAACAGCCATATTGCTGTTTGGGCCTCCAGGTTGTAGCAAAACCCTCATGGCACGTGCAGTTGCTTCTGAAGCAGGGCTGAACTTTCTAGCAGTCAAGGGTCCTGAACTCTTCAGCAAATGGGTTGGAGAATCTGAGAAGGCTGTCAAATCAATTTTTGAGAAAGCAAGGGCAAATGCCCCGTCAATTGTGTTTTTTGATGAAATAGATAGTCTTGCTATAACTCGTGGGAAAGATGGTGAGAGTGTTTCAGTGTCTGATAGAGTCATGGCTCAGCTTCTTGTTCAATTGGATGGTGAGTGATGAATCTTAAGCCAGTTGAAATGTGAATGGTCACTAATATAGCCGTTGGCCCGAAATCGACATTAATCATGTTTTTCTTTTAACGAAAAAATTATGTCCTGCAGGTGTGCGTAAAAGAGGTGATGTTACTGTCATAGCTGCTACAAATAGGCCAGACAAGATTGACCCTGCTCTTTTACGACAAGGTATTATCTGTTTTGTTATTCTGCGTCTGTCACAAGCATGCACACACAAATACACTAAGGTAGATAAGTTGGTATGTCTTTAATCAGTGGCTTAAATATCTCTCCATTTACAGGACGCTTTGACCGTCTGCTATATGTTGGACCTCCAAATGAGATTGACAGAGAAGAGATATTTAGTATTCATTTGCGCAAAACTCCACATGATTCTGATGTTAACATGAAAGAACTGGCTCAACTGACAGATGGTTTTACCGGGGCTGATATATCACTTATATGTCGAGAAGCAGCTCTTGCTGCATTGGAGGTTAGTCATTCAGCATTATTTATGATCCATGTGTTACAAAAAATATATATTAATATGTAAAATCTTTGTGACATCAGGAAAGCTTTGATGCTTCTGTTGTAAAAATGAAGCACTTTAAGATAGCAATCGAACAGGTTCAGCCAACAGAAGTTCAGTCCTACCAAAAGCTATCAGAAAAATTTCAAAGGGCCGTGTTCTCTCCTGTGATATAAATGGTTTAACTAATCACATCCACTTGCAACACATTTGGTAAATATTTCCTATTCCACCATGCATGTTTACTATACCTTATTTTGGAGTCTATAAGGTGGAGTTAGAAATTGGATGTGTTTGTTGATTTCAGCTGAAACAATACGGTGTAGAATGTAGAAACATAAATTATTTTTTTTAGAAGAAATGAAAATATCTTGATATTATTATGTAGTTTCTTATATTTCTTAGTTGTTATCCAAATTTTGGAAAGGTGCATAAGTGCATTAGTGTCAAAAACAAGAACAAGTAAAGAGTGAAGTCCACTTGTTTATTGATCATTCATCTTGTTTAAAAAAAACTGAATTGGAATCTGACGCTGAAATATAGTTTGCTAATTTGCTACGGTAATAATTAAATTTAAATGAAACCAAAATAAAATCTAACTTCCAGTTCATAAATGAGTAAATGATGAAAGTTGATTTTAAAAATTGTAAAGAAAACATCGGTTATTTTAATCTCTGAATTTTATGAATAGATAAGATAAATATGTTTTCGAGTTTGTAACCAGTTAAATGTTTTAATTCTCTCAGTTTTTTTTTGGTTAGATGGAATGTGATTATTTAAATTTTTATTAATTATTTTTAATTTAATAATTATTTATACCACATTCTCTATTATTTTTTTAAACACTCCTTTCAATAGTAAACTGGATGATGACATGCGTGAGGTGCTGGGTAAAATTTGTTGCATTTAAATTATTTAATATTATAATATGTAAATTAGAATTAGTGTATCAAGTTCATAAAAGCTTAAAATAATGATAGATTTATATGATATTACAATTTTAAAAAAATATTCTTTGTTGATTTTAACAGTATATCTAGTGACAATATCTAAGCATGGTGGAGTAACTCAATTGATTTGAGTTGGTAGTTTTAATGACAAAATTTAATATAAATAAATCATTGTTAATTATAAATAAAAAATTAAAACAACTTAAAGATGCGGTGCTACTATAAATAGTAAAGATAGTCTTGTTTGTTTTGTTTAGGGGTGACAAACGGGCATGTCTATACTCTGTTTAGGTATGTTCTACAAAAACCTGAAAAAAAAATGGGGCGGGGCAGAACGGTCGTAGTTGAAGATGCGGGTCTAAAATTTATGTTTATCCCGTAAAAAATAAGGGCGGGCGGGGAAAGTCCGTAGGCACTGCAACTTTTAAGTTTAAAAATGCAAAATTTTATGTAAATATTCGTGTATGTAAAAGCCCGCAAAGAAAACGGGGCGGAACGGGACAAACACATTAGAGGGTGAGGATTTAAAATCTTGTCCGCTTCGCACTAAAGTGCGGGCAAAACGGACATGTCCAACTAGTCGAGTCCGTTTTGCCACCCCTAACTTTTGCTAAATACTCAAAAGGATCATAACCATAAATTTTACAATGTAAGGATTATAAACATATGAGACAAATGGCCTAATTTCTTAATGCACCCTCTTTATTATTAGGCTATTACATGAAAATATAAAATTGCTTCTAGATTTTAGAAATGCATATAAAATTACTTCTAGATTTTAGAAATGCATCTCTGAATGCACTCTAAGTCAATAGAAGGTTGACTTAAAGTGAAAATTACGGAGATGCATCTTCGTAAACATTACGGAGACGTATCTCCAGACGCTATTTGTACATAACGTGCTAGAACTCTTCTTCTTCCTCACTTGTTAAAAAAATCAAAGTTTTTTTTTTAAAACTCACTCAAAATCACATTGCCTAAAATTATACTGTCTCAAAATCAATCAAGTAACATCAAAACTTTATCAATCATCATCGAACGACATCAAAGAGCTCATTCAACCACATCAACTTCAAAGATTCCTCACTTTTTGTAAGTTTTTGATTATTTTAAACTTTTATGAGTTTTTGTATAAATTTGTAGAAATTGATGAATAGGTATTGAACTACATAAATTATGATTGTTTGATAGTTGATACAATATGAAAAATGTGTTTCACAGTTAAAAGCAGCGATTAATGCATTATTATTTTGGGATACGGTGGTCTGTATTAGCGCTATTGACGAAAATGTAAGTTGCAGGAAATTTCGGGGATGCATCTCTGTATTTTTTCAACGTTTGGATTCTCAAGAACCGGAGATGCATCTCCGCAATTTTTTAAATCAGGAATCAGAGATGCATCTCTGTATTTCATCTGTCTGTTTTTTATGCATATATGGTTGTTTGTAGTGGCACTTGTCTGGTTTACTTACATGCATTATAACTGAAGAGACGACTGATTGAGGCACGACAGCATTTCACAACATGCATCTGTCCGGAGGGAAAGAAGTCAGGTTTTATAGGCTTCTATTCCCTCTAGCCTGGTTGATGCAGAGGCATCAACTTCTGGGGCTCATATATCTCCACCTTCTTCTTTCCGTAGGAGACAAGTGTCACATAGTTACGCACTGCCTCTATCTTTCTGTAGGCGACAAGTTTCACCTATTCAAGCACCCAAGGTGCTAGAGGTACCCGAGTCACTAAAGGTACCTTATACACCAGTTCCACCCCAGGCTGATGAGCTAGTGCCACCTTAGGCTGATGAGCCAATGCCACCTCAGGTATTTGGAGGAGGCCCATTAGAGTTGTCATTGCTGCCTCTTTACCGGGCCATACTGCCAGACATATCTAGGACGGAGATGTAAAATTAGTTGGATTCATTCTTTTTAAATTACATTTATTATTACATTACAAGTTTCTGCCGATGATTTATTTTTCTGTAGGATTGTTATCCATTGAAATTCATTAACCATAGGTGGAAGATAACTCACTTGCATCAGTCTAATGATGAGTGGTTTTAGGTTGCTTTGTCCCTATTTGAGATGAAGGACTTATGCAAGAACAATTATGCTACAGTGAACCACAAAATGCTTAATGCATTTGTGTAGAGATGGCATACTGAGACCTCATTATTTAACTACCACTTGATGAAATGTCTTTCACACTCGATGATGTGTCGTGTACGCTGCATCCTCTGATTAGGAGGAAGCTTTTAGATCATGAGAGTATTAACAAAGATGTGACACTTGAGTTGATGATAGAATATCTGGGAGTTGACCTAAAAGCTGCCTTGAGGGAGTTATTAAAAACTAGAGGGGCTCATGCTTAGTTTGAATTCTTGAAAAAGGTATATACAAATGAGCTTCTTAGAGCAGAGTAGGATATAAGTGATGTGGAATAGGTGGGGCTGCATAGAGGGTATGCCTTGAGAGCATACCTGTTATATTTGGTTGACACTAGGGATGTTCATGGACGATTAATTTCGATAACCAATCCATAACCATAAATAATTCATATGTTATAACCGGTTATTAAAACCAATTCTCATAACCGGTTTTTATCTTTTAAAATGGTTATAAACCGGTTTTATCCATAACCAATTTTATAATTAATTTTGATTTAGTTTTATTTTAAAATTGATTTTTTCAAAAACGTAATATCCATTGCATCATTGGCCCTTGTGCATTTTTCTTGTTCTGTAACTAATACTTTAAACTTTGGTTTTGTCTACACCTGCATTTTTTATAATAATGTCGGTTCTAATTATCTATTAAAAAATAACTAAGGTTGTTTTTAAGCATAACAATTTATTAACCGTAAAAAAAATCACATGTTATCTATTAATATTTTTTTCTTTTAATCTTTATCCTAGGTAGTATGTAAATTTATAAAAAGAATGTTAGTTTTTAATTATTTATTGTTAGTTAATAAATTTATATTAACTTTTATATTTTGTAATTTTTCATTGATTGAAATGAAATATATATTTTATTATATTTTATCATATATAATTTTTATTTAAAAGATATATAAGTCATTTTATAATTTCACTTTTTTTTATCTATTATAATTAATTTTATTTTCTCATGTATCAAATTAAATAATTAAAGTGAGTGATATAACTCAATTGTTTTGAGTTAAATGAGTGTGAATGATTGATTTAGATTTTGATCTTTAGTGATAATATTTTATATTTATTTATGTATTAATATGATATTTGTTGATATTTATAAACTAATAATGATTTTTGTAAAACTACTTGACAACTTACTTATATTTTAATATTTTTTTCTTTTTCCATTTATTTTCACCCTTCTATATTTTTTTCATCAATCAAACAAAATGTAAAAAGACCCCTTTTTTTCAATAACTAAAGTTGTGTTAATATTTTTTAAAAATTAAATTAAACCTTATAATTATTTTTTTCAAAAATATAATATTTTTTAAAAAAAAATATTGATGCTAAAAAAAACAATAGTTATTTTAAAACAATAGCTAAAAAAAAATTTAATTTTATTTTCAAAATAAAAATTTTTTTTTTATTAAATTTTTTGACTAATTTGGTTTTTATTTTGGATATGGATGTCCAAATTATGGATTTGGTTAAAATCATTTTAAAAATATATCCAAAATGTGGATTTGATTAAAACCATACTAATAATTAACCGGTTTTTAATAACCGGATTTGGATATGGATATGGATTATTTAAATAACTGATTTATTTGAGCACCCCTAGTTGACACTGCCAGTTTTGTGAAAAAGAGTGCCATTTATGTGGATGTCGTCTACCTACGATACTTTGAGGACTTTCAGCGGATCCATGAGTACAACTGGGGGGTCGATCTTTTGGTCTTATTGTACTCTAAGTTATCTGATGGATGTAGGTGGAAGATGAAGCAAGCAATAGGTAACATCACACTTTTGATGTTAATATTTATTGGTCTTTTAGTGTTCGTGTGTCATTTTCATTACATTTTTGCAACACCCTTTCTCATGATCCGTGTGTTCCAACATTTTTAGGCTTGGATCCTCCTGTACTTCACACACATCTCCGGTTGGTCTTGTGTACCAACCTATACTAAGGATATGTTGCGTGCTTCTACATTTGCCCCACTCAGAGGGAACCATGCGACGAAGTCGTTTCAAGTGTATCTTGTCCGCTTGATATCAAAGGATATTCATTTTA